TGGGGGGGGGGGTTCCCTGGGCCCCAAGGAAGCTCTGCGCACTGGCCTCTGTCTGGCAGGGTCTGTGCGTAACCCCCAGCCCCTGTGGCCCAGGCTGAGGTGGGCGCTGAGCCATCCTGTGTGGGGCTTTGCAGGACATGTGGCTCATAGAGGGGGCCCTGGAGGTCCACCTGGGCGAGTTCCACGTCAGGATGAAAGGTAACAGGGCTGAGAGGGGGTGGGCAGTGGTCTGTTTGGGTGGGGTGTCAGGACTTCTTGAGGGCCCTGGGACTTCTGCTGAAGGTGGGGTGTGGGTCAGAATTCAGGGGTCCTGGCCCAGCCCCGGGTTTGCAGTGCTGTGATATGTGACCTCGGGCAGGTCTCGTTCCCCCCCCCCCGAGTTGGATGTGAGTGCCCAGGCCTGCCCACTGTCCATCATGATGGCTCATCCCCTAGTCTGTCCCCCAGTGAGGGCCTGTGACCCACGGGGCAGGGGCAGAGGACAGAGATCAGCCCACCTCTGTGTTCCAGGCTTGGTGGGCTACGCGCGCCTCTGTCCAGGAGACCAGTATGAGGTATGGCCGCCCTCCGGGGTCAGTCCTCAGGGTTCCCTGCCACATCTTTGGGGGTTCCAGGGTCCCAGCTGGCAGGGAGGGCCCCCATGCAGGTGGCAAGCGGGGGCATCCACCTGGGGCAGCTGACCCATCCCTCCCTGGGGCTCGCTCGCAGGTTCTTATGCGCCTGGGCCGCCAGCGCTGGAAGCTGAAGGGCCGGATTGAGTCCGACGACAGCCAGACCTGGGACGAGGAGGACAGGGCCTTCATCCCCACCCTGCACGAGAACTTCGAGATCAAGGTGGGAGGGGCCTCGGGGAGGGGCCAGGGCCTCCAGAGGCGCAGTTCAGATGCCACCCACAACTCCCCACCCCCCAGGTGACAGAGCTGCGTGGCCTGAGCTCGCTGGCGGTGGGTGCAGTGACGTGTGACATCACCGACTTCTTCACGACCCGGCCACAGGTCATCGTGGTGGACATCACAGAGCTGGGCACCATCAAGCTGCAGCTGGAGGTGCTGTGGAAGTGAGTAGGGGTCAGTCTCGCTCCCTGCCCTGCTACCCCTCCCCGGGGCCAGCCCCAGATTCCCACCTGGAGGGCCACCCAGAGCCAGAGCCTGATGAGTCTCGCTGGCTCCCCCTGGTGGCCAACCACACCCTAGCATCCACTCGAGGGCATTTCTGCCCTCTTCTCCCAGGAGGTGCCCGCAGTGCCTGTCGCAGGCCCTGGTGGTGGGGCTGGGCCCCAGACACCTCTAGCCGGGCCTTCCTGCGAATGAGATCGAGCAGGTTTCTGCGAGGCAGGGAGGGTTCACCCAGGCCTACCTGCTCCAGAGGCAGGGTGGGTGAGGCCTTGGGTCCCCAGCCTTACCTGTGACTGGGACTGACAGAGGTCCTTCTAGAATGGTGCCCTTTACAGGCGAGGAATCCGAGAGGGGTGGTGACATGGTTTACCCAGGAAATGGCAGCACTGAGTGTCTAGTGTCCTCACTGGTCTGCTGAGCTTCTCACAGGGACCCCTAGAGGAGGGTGTCATTCACATGTGTGGCGGCTGATCCCTGCCCCTTGCCATCTGGCTAAGGGCCTCGGGTGGTGGTGTCTGAGAGACGGTTCCTACACAGTTGAGGATGTAAACCAAGAGTCCCTGGGCTTCTCCTGTGACCCGGCCAAGGCTGCGCCTCCCCAGGACCCCATCTTTTCAGTCCCCTGGGTCCTGAATGGGCTTGAGTGTCCTCCCAGGCATCAGTGACACCCTGGCCCTCTGTTCTCTCCTACAGTCCATTTGATACTGAGAGTTCCTTGGTGTCACCCAGCCCCACAGTCAAGTTCTCTGTGGGCAGCAGGAAGGGCTCCTTGTACAACTGGACACCCCCAAGCACCCCCAGCTTCCGGGAGAGGTACTACCTGGTGAGTAGGCCTCGCAGGGGCAGGGACGGTGGCCATGCTGGGACTGCTGGTGGAGAGGGTGACTCCCCAGGAGCCAGCATGTGGGACTGGGCTGAGCAGCCCTGCATCTCTCGATGCAGCAAGCTTTGGGTTCAGCCTCTTACTGTGGGTTATCCTGGGTGTTTTTCTGTACTTTTTCTTTCTCAATGCTGGCCCTCTTATTCTGCGGGCTGCTAGGCTTGGTTGGTTCTCTTGGATGCTTGGATTAGGTCTTCTGGGTGGTTCTATCACCTCAGCTATGACCTTGGCCTCCAATTAATTTGTTTTAAACTTAAACTGAGTATGTTTCCAGTGGATAATACCTTGACATAGTGTACAGTAAAACATCTCTTTCTCTTTCCTGTGACCTTCAGGGACCTGGGTCCCCTCCTTAGCCCTGTTCTCAACTTCTTCCATATCCTTCCAGAGATACTCTGCCACCTGGGAGCAAATGCATCTTCTCCTCCGTCTTTTAATCCACAGCAGCCTTTTTAACCTTGTGATGCATTTGGAGACTGGAAGGGTGAGGGATAAATGAGGTGGGACTAGAAGGCCCTTAGGACAGGGCTGTAAACACCAAATGCTTCATTTAATGAAGAGCTGCTATTGTTTCTATACAATGAGTATTATTGGGTGTTGTATGTCAGGTCCTTCCTTCATTCATTTCATTCATTTAAAACTATGTGCCAGGCTCTTCTCTAGGCCAGGTGAGAACTATGTCCTCAGGGAGCANTGCTTCATTTAATGAAGAGCTGCTGTTGTTTCTATACAATGAGTATTATTGGGTGTTGTATGTCAGGTCCTTCCTTCCTTCATTCATTTCATTCATTTAAAACTATGTGCCAGGCTCTTCTCTAGGCCAGGTGAGGACTATGTCCTCAGGGAGCACTGCCTGCCCGAGGGGCAGAAAGACCATGGGAAAATAAAGCAGAACATACTTTGTCAGAGAGCACAGTCAGTGCAAAGGCCCTGAGGTGGGAATGTGTGAATGAGCCTGGAGGGTATGAGAACAGCAAAGAGGCTGCTGGGGCTTGGAAGGTGTGAGTTAGAGAGGCGATGGGAGAATAAGAGCAGAGGGGTTATAGGGTCCTATCAGGACCTCCGAGTCAGCTTGGTGGACCTCAGTTCATCAGGAGAACATGGGTATGCAGAGCAAGTGTCTGTGGCGGGGGAAGCCTCTCTGGGGGCCTTGCTGTGGTCCCTAGGGTGGCCAGTGAGGCTGGTCCTGTGTCCCCCTCTCCAGTCTGTCCTGCGGCAGCCAGCACAACAGGCCTTGCTGCTGGGCAGTCCGAGGGCCACCTCCATCGTCAGCTACCTGTCCGACAACGACCTTCGAGGCCCTGGCCTGTGCAGCCGCAGTCAGGAGCTGCCCGAGATGGACTCCTTCAGCTCCGAGGACCCCCGAGACACCGAGACCAGCACATCAGCATCCACCTCAGACGTGGGGTTCCTGCCCTTGGCCGTTGGCCCCAATGCCTCCACTGAAGAGGCGGCCCAGGAGGACTCCCCGCCCCTGGGCCTCCTCCCAGAGATGGCCTACCTGGCAGGAGGCTCGTTTGTGGAGCAGCCCGGCTGGAGGAATTTGGGAGTAGAGAGCCCCAGCCTGCCACGGGGCTCCCCACTCCACAACCATACGATGCCGGACAGCCAGAAAGACCATGTCGAAGGAGAAACCGGGGACAGAGTGGATGGGCCTGGGGTGACCCTCGAGAGGCCCCTGCAGGAGGTCCTGGATTTACTGAGGTGCACAGACCCCTCCCAGCCCCGGCTCCGGGAGCTGGAGTACCAGGTCCTCAGCTTCAGGGACCGGCTGAAGGTATGTCCACTCCTCGCCGGGCAGCAGCCCTGCTCTGCCAACGGCGTAACAACTGAGCCTGGGCTCTGGGGGCAGCCAGCCTGGGCCGGCATCCCGTTCTCACCTCTGCATCTCCTGGGTGGGTAATGTCTCCTCTCTGGGCCTCAGTTTGCTCATCTGCCAAGTGGGGATAACAAGAGCCCTCATCAGGCTGGAAGGAGGTTTAGGAGGAAGCTGGGGCTCAAAGTGAATAACTTGCCCCACATCCACCCAGAACCAGCCCCATCTCGCATCTTCTGACCCGAGCAGGTGACGCTGCTGCTCTGCATTAAAATCCCAAACTCAGGGCGTTCTCATGTCAGAGCTGGTGCCGTGGAAAGCCCCCAGAAACCACACACCCCATGCCGAAACTTCTCTACAGAGCCCACGCCAGGGGCCGTTCTCACGTGGCTGAGGCGCTAGCCTGGGTGGATGATCCTATGTTTTGGTTTACATAATTTAAACGGACGTAAAATAAAACGTATCACACCAGCACCTACTTATACATCAATTAATGTATGAAACCACTGTCTTGTGTAGGACACATGCTGGCACTGAAATAGCTTAACAGCTCCCTACAAAAATTCGTTTTGTTTCATCCCTTCCCCAACCCCAACATCATAAGTCAGCACAGGTGAAAGAAAGGTGGGTTTTCATTTTCTAGTAACTTAAAGAAAATGTTCACTACTTACCGCTGCTATGGACCTGCCCGAAGATTTCAAGAAAAAAATATAAGAAACAGTTACCGTTTTTTTTGTATTTCTTAACAGCGTTTTTCTGTAGAACAATCTGACAGCCTGCAGGCAGCCTTCACCTGTAATTTGAAAAATTACACCCACTCTCCATAGAGATCTTAAAATAACACCGCAACAGGCAATAATTTTACACATCTTTGAGGAACGCTTCTTTTTTTTTTGACAAACCAAGTTAGAAGAATAAAAATGACTACAGGCTATGGTTTTTAGTTTGTTTTAAAAAGAAATTATGTGTGTATAAATGTGTATTTATATATATATACTCATTACTCACGGGTTCCTTTTCTGTGAATTCATTTACTCGCTAAAATTTATTTGGAACCCCCAAATCAGCACTCATGATTCTGTCAGGTGCCGACTGATAAAAAATTTGAGTCACCTGACATGCTCATTGAACAAGGCGACACTCTGCCGCCTTGTTTCAGCTCTGACTGCAGCCGTGTCCTCTTTGGCGTCGGTTTAGTTTAGGGCTACGTTTTTTTACCTTCTTGTGCGTTTTTTTGGTGATGGCGCTGTTTGAATGGCCGCTGGTGTCCCGAGCACCCGGCGGAGGCGACACGTCTCGAGGAGAAAGCGCGGGCGGGCTGAGCTCCGGCTGCTGCCTTGAACCCAGAGCCGAGCGGGGAACAGGGCCCAGGACACGAGGTCTCTGCGCGGAAACACACGAAACGAGGCTCCACGCTGGCCGCCGATGAGAAAGCCGTGTCCAGGGGCCTGTTCCCGAGGAGCGGGGGTTGCAGGGTCACAAACCCTGGGGCCAGGGCGCTTTAAGGCCACCGGGAGTCCACTGGAGCTCTCCAGCAGCGACTAGAAGCCCGGGCGGGCCCTGCTGTCCCCAGGCCCCAGGGCTCGAGCGCTGGCAGCTGTCCCCCCTCACCCCCCACCCCCAGAGAAGAGACCCCTGGAATCCAGCGGCTAACCTGGCAGCTTTGAGCCTCCTGAAGAGGGGTTAACCCGACTCACCCAACATTTAGAAAATAATTTGAAATCAGTTGTCAATATTTAAAAACAGAGCAGCTTCCCACAAAAATCCAGGTTTCCAGCTTTTCTTAGAAAACTGAAATATCCGGCAACACTGGCCCCACGGTCCCAAGTGGCAGTTGTCAGCTGGAGCTTGCCCTCTTGGGGGTCCCCCCACAACCACTCACTCCTGTCACTTGTCCTGTCCCTGTGGGTGTCTGTGACCAGGTGTCTACCTAGAGCTTTTGCATCATACCTTTTGTTCCATGACATTAGGGAGGGTCCTCGGGAAGTGCCGAGCCCCTGGGTCCATCACCCACTTGGGGGACGCTGTTAAAGGGGGGGTGCTAGACGGGGTGAGTGGGGCCGGCTGCCCTGAGGTCTTGCTCTGTCTACAGCCCCGCGGAGGCCGCCGGGAGCACAGCTCGGCCGAGAGCCTGATGGAATGCATCCTGGAGAGCTTCGCCTTCCTCAACGCAGACTTCGCCCCCCATGAGCTGTGCCTCTTTGGGGGCCCCCAGGGTCCCCGGTGAGTGCACCCACCAGCACTGACCGGGTGACCAGCCTTAGCTCCATGCTTCCTATCGGCCTCCTGGCCTGCCTCCCATTAGTATTTATTTTGATTTATTGTGGCCCACACACACATACACACCTCCTGTCCCCCCATGCCCACTGCCTGGCACAGAGCAGGTCCCCAGTGACCAGAGTGAATGAGAATAGCTCCAGCCTGGTCCTGAGCTTTCTGCTCCAAGCAATAGACTGTTTTTAAATCTTAAAAAATAATGATGGAAGACACAGTAGAGCCTCTGACCTTGACCTAACACGCAGCAGTGACTGTTCCCCGACACCTCTGCACAGCCGTCCACCCTCACCTCTGATGTCAGAGCTCTCCAGGCAGGGAGGGCTCCCTCTACCCTAACCAGAATGGTCACACAGTTCTCCATTCAACTCAGAAAGGACAGGACCCTGCCCCCGCCACCATCACTGAAAGAGTCATCCAGGGAGCTCACGGCTGGTGCCCCAGAGCTGGACACACTGCTCACAGTCCACCTCCAAGTCTGCAAGGCTCTGCTGCAGGTGGCTGAGGGACCTGAGAAAGAGGGGTGGGGGTGAGGGTGGAGAAGGAGGAGCTGGCTCTGGGGACCTGGGTGGGGTTGGGAGTTCTCTCTACAAAGGGCTGATCTTTAAGGTGGCAGGGAGCATGGTGGTGGGGGGACACCTGCACCTTGAGAGCCAGTGAGACTGAGGAGGTTTCCCTGTGGAAGGTTTGGGCCAGGCCTGGGTGAAGAGTCATATGGCTCTTACACAGCCCAAGTCCTGAATCAAAGGCAGTGGCTGTGACTCCTTCAGCTGTAGAAGCCAGAGCTCCAATCCAAACTGGCTCAACCTAAAGAGAAAATTTATTGGCTCATAGAATTGACAAGGCCAGAGGTGGGCTTCAGGCCCAGCTGGATCCAGGGTTTCAAATGTCATCATGACTGGGCCCCTCCCTCTCTCAGCTCTGCTTTCCTGCGTGGCTGGCTTCACTTTCAGGCAGGCTGCTCCATTCTGGTGGCAAAGACAGCGCCTGGCAGCTCCAGCCACCTTGGTGAAGGGGGAATCCCCAGATGACAGTCAAGGGATAGAAAGGATGGGCAGGGGGCAGGTGAGGGCCACAGTCATGACGGCTGACATCAGACACGTGTCCATGCTAACCTGGAGCACCATGGACTGGTTTCCAGAAACTGGCCTCTCCTAATTTGTCGAGGATGGTCCAGGAACGCCTTCTGGAAGAAGCTGCGCAGCAAAAGCAGGTTCTGGAGACTCTTTCTATGCTTGATTTTGAGAAGGTCAGCAAGGCGATGTCCGTTGAAGAGAGTAAGTAACTGCCCACCACCAAGGGCTGCTCTTGTGAATGGCATGAAGCGGCGGGCTTCGAGCACAGGGGAGCCTTGTCTCCCTTCCTGATGTCCAAAGTTAACTGGAGCCCAGGGGTGTCTGCCCAGACTGGGCTCAGAGTCATCATGTGGGGAGCATGGTGCAGGGGGAGAGACTTGTGGTGGGAAGGGAGGCCACATGGCCTTGGAGTGAGCAGCACCTGCTCTTCGGTCAGCTGTGTGACTCTGGGCCAGTGAGTCACCCATCTGAGCCTCAGCTTCCCCATCTAAGTAATGTGGAGGCCACTGGGTGAGGGTCAGTGAAGGAATCCTCAGGACACACTCCAGGCACGCAGCATGAGCTCACATAAACAGTAGCTCTCACCCCGGTTCTGCCTCTGCCCCCGGGACCTTCTTTTGTCCGTGAGAGGCTGGTGGCAGTAGCCATCGCAGGCTGTTGTGAGGTCTGTGGGTGGTGACCTGGGTAAGGTGCTTGGAGTCGAAGCTGCTTGTCCTCTGTGTGTCACACTGGAGTGTGGGAAAAGGGCGCTGCATGTCGCCCCTCAGCTCCCCGACCTCAGGTCCCCGTGGAGGGAAGTCTCTGGGCCCCGCTTGCTGTCTCTTTCGTCGCAGTCAGGCTCTGAGCCCGCCGGGCTTTCAGTCCTCCCGCAGGCCGCGTGGAGGAAGGGCTGCCTGAAGCTGTGGAGAGGGTGCACGGAGCCCGGCGCCGTCCTGGCCTGCCCCGCCGCCTCGCTGCTCAACCAGCTCAAGAAGACATTCCTGCACAGAGTCCGGGGGAAGTACCCGGGGCAGCTGGAAATAGGTAGCTCCCCCGTCCCCCCCAGAGACGCTGTGCTGCGTCTCAGGGCCTTCAGTATTGTCACAGCTGGCCTCAGCCCTGGCTTCACCTCTGAGTGTCATGGCACCAAACAGAGGTCGTTTGGCAGCGTGACCACAATCACCCTATTTTACTGGGAGGAGGAGCCTGTGAAACTGCAAACAGTGGGCTGGTGCATTTCCCTGGGGACAGGTTCCGTAGCTCCCACCAGAACCTTAAAGGGTTAAGAGCCTTCATGGGAAGGTAGGCAAGCCTGTATCTGCCGCATAAAGGTGTCCTAACACTGCTTCAGAAGGCAGAGCATTTCCTGGTCACATTGAAGGTGACAGGCGTACTCCAGGTAGTGGCTCTGGACTGTCAGCAGCTCTAACCACCACCTGGGCTGCTTGGGGCCTTCGTATTCCCAGCCCCAGCCCCGGCCATGTGGATGATCCCCAAGGTCGCCCAAGACAGGGCCTGCGGCCCCAGCTGGAGCGAGCAGCTTCTCGCAGGCACAGGAGGCGCAGTGAGGGACCCCCGCCCACCTGCCGTCAGCCTTTACACTGACCTGGCCACACCGGCTAAGCTCCCGGGGCCAGGTCTCCGTTTCTCCTGACGGCCTGGCTCTTCTTGCCAGCGTGCCGCAGGCTTCTGGAGCAGGTGGTCAGCTGCAGCGGGCTGCTCCCCGGAGCCGGCCTCCCCGAAGAACAGACTGTCACCTGGTTCCAGTTTCACAGCTACCTGCAGAGGCAGAGTGTCTCGGACCTGGAGAAGCACTTTGCCCAGCTCACGAAGGAAGGTAGGGGCTGGGGAGGGTGGCAGGTGGCCTCAAAGCCGCATGTCACAACAAAGGAACTTCCATCCATGGAGCCCCCTGTCCCAGATCTCTGGAGCCAGCCTTTTCCCTCCAGCTGTCCTTTTGAGAACCCTGATTATTTCGCGTCCACGCTGGGCCACGATGAGATTGGCTCTAGGGGAAGGTGGCTCTCAGCAGAGCCGAGGTCAGAGCTGGGTACGACTGGGATGCTGGGCCGGCAGGCGTCCTTTAAGCGTGGGCTGGGGTTGCATCAGTCGTCAGGGTGTATTTGACTCCTTGCTAGAAAGCCTTCCTAGAGGTTCCAGGAGGCCCCTCTGAAGCCAGTCCAGACTGGGCCTTGGCGACCACATGGGCTGGCTCTGGGATTTGCTTCTCTATGGCTAACGGCAGTGGCCAAACTAGCCTGCAGCTGTATAGCCCAATGGCATTCAGAGGAGACCCTGAGCCCCCTTCTGCCGTCTCTCATCTCTCCTAGTAACACTCATTGAGGAGCTGCAGTGCACAGCACAGGCCAAGACGGTCAGGAAGCTGCAGGGGAAGCGGCTGGGCCAGCTCCAGCCCCTGCCCCAGACGTTAAGGGCCTGGGCACTGCTGCAGCTGGACGGGACTCCAAAGGTGTGCAGGGCAGCCAGTGCTTCCCTGGCCAGCGCAGCCAAGAGCAAGAGCTTTCGGGAAAAGGTACAGTATGAGGAGAGGAGGTGGCAGCCTCCTGACCACAGGTGTGGGGAGTGGAGGGAGGTATGCTCTCTCAGAAACGCACCAAGGTGTGAGTGACTGGGCGTTGCATTAGCTGCAAGATATTTGGGTTTAGGGATGCTCCAAACATGAACACAGCCCTCCTTACACCACTGCCATTGGCAGCACCAGCCTCGGGGAGGGATCTGGGCTGGGGTTGCCAGGCCACACTTACCTCACTCACCTCCAGGTTTCTAAAGCAACACCATCTATTTGGTCTTTAAGACATCACTTGCATGTAGAATGTTTTTCTTAGAATTCCAATGGTCCTCATTTACTTACAACTAATGTGTGGCTGGTTCATTGTGTTCAGTTCATTTGAAAATCAAACTATTGGACCCCGGTGCCTTTTAGGTTCCTGGACCTGTGACTATTCTAACCAGCCCCTGCGGTTGGAGAAGGGCAATATTGGGGCCTTACTAAAGCCTCTTGGGCTCGCTGGGGGCCAGGCACATCCCCACGTGCTTACATCAATTTTGTGACCCAAGTGCCAGCTTTATTTTCCAGAGGAAGTGACTTGGCCATGGCCATATGACCAATGGGGACAGGGGCAGAGCTGTGACTGGAAGAGGGTGATGAAAGGGAGATGCTCCTCCTTCTGACCTGAGGAACAGCCTACGTGGATGGTTCTATGTGTTCATTTCCTCTGTTGTCCTGGCTGGACATCCGGCTGGACATCTGATTCCTCTGCTTTAACATTTTCTCTAGATAGCAGTTTCAGAACGCATTCCCTAAATATTATTACACAGAAAGCTTTCTTCATTCGGTTACCACGAGATCAGTGTTTTTACAGATAAGCTCAATACTGTAGTATACATCTTGAGACTGTACATATGGCCCAAAGATTAATGGATCATGGCCTGATTTTTGTTTAGAAAAAGGTAAGAAGGGCCTGTCAGCAGTTGGAGGATCAGCCGTGGCACTGTGGATTTTGCTTTTGGCACCCTCTCCCCTTTATTCACAGCAGCCTTATTTCCCAGGCTTTGCTTTTCTACACCAACGCCCTGACCGAGAACGATGCAAAACTCCAGCAAGCTGCGTGCATGGCGCTGAAACATCTCAGGGTGAGTTCAACCTGTCCTCACTGGTGTTGGAGAAGCCTACTTGTGGTTAATGTTAAAGTGAGTTTAAAATTTTTCCACCGGGACCAAAAAAAATAATAATAATAAATCACTGTTAGCAAAAAAGGAGCTATCAAGAGCTGGTTTGAGAGGAGCATCCGTCAGCCCCACCAGCAGAGGGCCCTCAACGTGAGCATTTGCTCTGGCTCTGCGTGAACAAGCAGGTGGCTCCAGGGACTCACTTCTGAACTCTTGGATCATGTTTTTTTTTTTGTTGTTTTTTAAAATATATCTTTATTGATTTCAGAGAGAGGAAGGAAGAGGGAGAGACAGAGATAGAAACATCCATGATGAGAGAGTCATTGATCGAGCCCGCAACCTGGGCATGTGCCCTGACCGGGAATCGAACCCCGATCGCCTGGATCCTAAGGTTGATGCTCAACCGTTGAGCCACGCCTGGCCGGGCGGATCATATGCTTTAATATCCTCAATTTTAAAATTTCTAAAAGCTCGCTGTAGGAAAAAAAAGTGTAAAACACAAGTATGTAAATTATCCATCATCTTAATACTTAAGAGGAAACTACTGACATTTTGGTATATTTTTTTGTTTGTGGGTACGTGTGAGCATTGAAAATTGATAACATTAAATATAGTTTAAAAACAGTGAATGAAATAAGAACTTTTTGTGTTAGACTGGTAATGCTTTGGAATTCTTTATAAAGGGTCTATCAAAGATATACCTTAATTTAACCCACTCCTCTACTCTCGTATTGTAGAAAATTTACATTCATCATCCATTTCTTCTTATAAATAATGCCATTATGAGCATTACTGTGCATAAAGCTTCAACCTCACTGCATTTAGAATTCTCATTTCAAAAAATAATTGCCAATTTACTAGATGAAAACTAGACAAGCACAGATTAAACTCACCCCATTCATGTTGGAATGAGTCAACAGGAAATCCTAGGTCCAGTTGGGTATAATCAAATAACCAGTAAGAGGGTCAGGGTCCCAGTAAAGGGTGCTGAAGCACACTGTTCGTTGGCCCGGGAGAGCAGCCTGGGATCAGAGGTGCCTGAACTGGACCCCGACGGTGCCTCTCCTAGTCTGGCTGGGAGGGGATGGTTGGGAGAGCAGGGAGGAGGTAGCAAGGTCCAGAGGGAGTCAGGTCTTCTCACTTTCAAGATGGTCCTGCCAGCTATCCATACGTCAGTGCTAGTGGCCTGTTTGCTGGCAGGTGTTAGGACTGAAAAATGAGACACTTACAGTGGTGCTTCTGATGAACCTGAGGCCACATAAGCAACACAGAGACCTTCAGAAAAGGGGTGCAGGCCCCAGAGACTATGCTAGGGCTGGTCCTACTGGGCTTATACAAGTGGATTCTACCTGCTGCTTAAAATGTCTCCTAATGGGTCCTCTTTTTGCCAAGTAGGGCATCGAAAGCATTGACCAGATTGCTGGCCTGTGCCAATCTGACCTGGAGGCCGTGCGAGCAGCGGCCCGGGAAGCCACATTGTCATTCGGTAAAGTACAGCATCAAACATCATGTGCAGTGCAGTGGGGTTCCCAGGCCCTCAGCAAGGTTGTGCTAGAGCAGCCACAACCAGCTCTCAAAAGACGCAAATTAGCACATGGGATGGGCACCGTTAACAACTGTGTAACTGCATTTGGCCAAGGCAGGTTTCCTTCATGGTTGAGGTGGCAAGAAATGCTTTATTTCCTTCTTAAACTTCAGTTTGTTTCTTGGGAATGAAAGCAGATGCAGGGGACATAATCAAAGTTCAGTAGACTGTGTCTTGGACGTAGGGGCAAGGCACCAGTCATCCAGTTAGGAGCCCCCCAAATACTCCTGGCCCCTGCCCTTTACAGCAGCATCCAAGACCCAGGCGTCAGTGAATGATAAGGCCATCTTGGCCTGCCAGAGTAGGAAACACTAAGGCCGGGGACAATCCAGTGACAAATCACCTTAATATTGCAGGTGAAAAAGGACGCTTTGCTTTTGAGAAGATGGACAAACTTTGCTCAGAACAAAGAGAAGCCTTTTGCCAGGAGGCAGATGTTGAAATCACAATATTTTAAAAACCCTCAGGCAATGAGCTCAAATCTGGCCTCTTGGTTTTTGCTGCTGCCCAGTCCTAATACAGGGACTGAGCGTGGATGAGGGCACACTGCTGCTCCCCTGCAGCGGAAGGGGCCAGAGCTGCTCGGATTGTTACAAAGCCCCAGGGCACAAGTGGGACTTTGTAAAAGGAGCACTTCAGAGGCGAGCTACTTCAAGGAAGCTACTAGCTTTTGGCTTTGAGAATCTGTCCTCCCCAGGATGCAGAGCCAGCCACACTATGAAGGAGTCAAGGCCTGGAATAAAAGGCTCCAAGATGAACGTGAACTTGTCTCCTTGCAGGTCAGCTGGATCAGTACCTCTGGTTCAACAAATACCCGCAGGCCTGTGAGTCAGTGGGTCAAGTCATTTCCACTGTAGGAGCTGTCACCTGGGCGACCTGGGGAAGATGGGAAGGCACAGAACCAGAGTTTCTGTGATTCACCTCTTAACCCGAGCTGTGGCCCAAGTGCCTGGTGGCAGCCTGCTGCCCAAGGACCTTACTTTCACCATGCTCAACAGCACAAAGGAAAGCAGAGGCTCAAGTGTCATATCAGTAAAAGCATTCACTCTGACCTCACTAAACAAAATGAAATCCAACTTCTGAAGCAAGTCAACTTAGGGCCTATTAAATTACTCCAGACGTCATAGCTGGTGTGAAGATTTCACGGAACAGCATGTTGCTTTAAAAAACCAAATTAGTTTCCTATTTAAGTCTAAGACTCAAATGTGTACTGAGCTGTTTCTGTGTTAATAATGTCAAGATAACCTAGGGTTTGAATGTGGCTATCAACAATGGCATTGGAGAACTTTGGAACTTAAACATTCTCATTTACACTTCCTGTATATATTTTGTGCTTTTCAATTTAACTTAGTATTTATTTGACTTGTTTATATGTTCAACTTTCTGAAATTTCAATTAAAAGATCAATTTTTATTGGTGTTTCATTTTACCTGAAAAATATAGTGGTTGTTTTCCCAAACATCCTGCTGGGGAAAAGTTGCCCCTCCTGTCCCTTAGCCTACTCTCTCCAGTGGGACACTGTGGAGTGGGATCTCCCACAGAAGTAGGCCTAGGGAAGGCAGTGTGCCCTAAGGATTCTCTGAAGGCTCCCCAGATGCCCCCTCCTATCCAGACACCATGAGGCATGGCCCTTTTCTAGCTTTTGGCTCCATCTGATTTCTGTTCCAAAGTCACAAGTTTTGTTATTTTTCTCCCACGCTGGCATTCCACCTCTTCATAAAAGCTTAGATGCCATCTTTTGTATGTGAAACAAAGACTGAAGTGACAGTGGGTGTGACATGACCATTCTGGCCCCCACAATGAGTGTTGTGTGGTCACATGACCATGACTCTGCTTGCTTGCCAGTTCCATGGATCCTGCTAGGAGGCGAAAGCATAAACAGTTACCCAGCAGCCAGCTTTGAAACAGTCAGAAAACCTTGAAGGATATAAGGGAACTCTGTGCTCTCTATGCAACATTTTGCAAGCCTGGAATTATTTCAAAACAAAAAGCCAAAATAATCACTTTAGGGAAGATTTACATTTAATTTTGTACAAGGAAGACTACACGAATTTTGTGTCTATCATTTCAATGTTGATTCTACATTGAATGTGACTGTATGAAGGTACTGAGACGCTATAACAGCCATTGGGCCTCAGAGGCAGTTGGTTAAGACGCACGTTCTTGAGGTCTGAACAGTTCTTCAAACAACTTGTGTAAGTTTGTTAAGTTATCCAAGGGCCCTGTATGTTCCAGAGATACGTTCTGTTGAAGGAAATGGGTGGAGGCCCTACATGTTAAATGAACTCCTAAGGGAAAATGCCCCAGTGCAAAGGCACTCAGCTCCTGGAGGCCCTCTGATTCTTAGATGAGGGAACTTATAACCCTGCTTGACATCTGCCTCACATCAGCAGGGATGGGAAGAAGCATGGTTGTCCATCCTGGTTTAGGCCCGTTAAGCAAAGAAATGGGAAGCACCCCAAACCCATGTTCTTTAGAAAAAATTTTTTTATTGTTGCAACTAAAATGAAAACCCATCATTTATATGGCAAGTTGGAAAACTGTACAGTTTGACAGTTCTGTGAGGTCACAGAAGACCCTGAGATGCGCCCCCCTCCCCACCCCGTCATGCATCCATGTATACACACACCTGAAAAGGTATTATACCAAAACACCTCGCTTTTTTTGTTTGTTTTTATTTTTGTAAAAACGGTTTATTCCATGGCCATTGTAAAAAATAATGACCTGCTGAGTAAATATTGGCTTAAGGCATATAGCAGAGCAGCTCGCTACTTCTCTAACATACGTGTAACAAGATGGAGAGCCATCTGTTTTCCAAGGATAGGAGGTTAAACCAGTATATCCATTTTGAAATGCTACTATATATACACACCCAAACTACTACATACATATACAGGACTTCAAAAACAAACAAACAAGCCCAACTCAAAATGCTTACAGCCTGGCACCTCAGCCTTATCCACACCTCACCAAGGCTCTGCGGGGCGATGCCTCAAATGTTCCCACCACAGAATTTCTCTGCACGGGCTTTGAACATGTGAAAGGCAAAATGTGAAAATGCTGGCAAAAGAGCAGCTCATGAGCTACAGCTGCCTTTTTTCTTGTTAAAAAAGCCACTTAATGTGGAGGTCTTAAGTTCCCCTCGCAGGAAGAGTCATGAGCACCATCAGTCCCCAGAGTTCAAGGGCAGGGGCAGACACGCCTCTCTCAGCAAGGCCCTCCCGACTGAGCCAGCAGCCGGCTGACTCCAAGGGACTGTCATCGTCCAGGTTGCTTCAAGAAGTGTGGTTTCCAACAGTTGCCTTGGTTCCAAATCACAGTCTTCTCAAGAAGAGTGTGAACTTAGGATAGTGGAGGCTGATCCCAAAGGTGTGTGTGCAGGGGACCCTGCTTGCCTAAATGTCCAGAGCGTGAGGTGTGACTATGGCTTCCCACCCCCCTTGGAATGTCTGAGTTACAGTGGGACCCAGCTGGACCAGGACAGGCCGGGCCTCACCAGGAAGTCACCAGAGAGTCATGCCAGGAATTAGACCAATATCTGTTACTGGAAACATCCCTCCAGTGCTGACCGGTGAGTAGTTCAGCAACAGTCTTAGGAACCACAGCCACATAATGATCTGATCATGCAAGGGGAGATTGGACTTATACACGAGGGCACTTTAGTAAGCAGAGATCTAAGTATTTCAAGCACGTGGTATTTGATCAGGACACAAGAAGACTGAACATGCATTCTAATACACACGGGGAAAGCGGTGATCGAGAACAAGGTTCTAGCAGGTAAAACCGGGGAGGGCAATAACCAGATAAAGTCATCTCCCGTCATGTATGTTAAATACCCAAGTGTTCATTATATATTATCCCACTGCTCTATAAACAAATGCCAAACCTCCTCTCACGTGACCCACAGTGTCATGAAATACCCACTGCTCACAGCCGTCCTCCTTCCTAGTACTGGTCTACCGCAGCGGGCTCATGGCAAAGTCCTGCGTTCCCAGCACTACCTGAGGATTTATTGTACTTTTTGAGAAAGCCTTTCATGCAAGGCTGACATCAAAAAATTTTAATACATTATTGGTTTAAGAAAATGCTAGTGCACTCTGGATACCTCTGGGGGAAAAAATAAAAAGATAAACATGGTGTGGAGAGGCTCACGACACGCAGTCTCCGCAGAGTGTACCGGGAAATGCTGTGCGCTGCCCTGCACAGGCCACCTTTCCTCTGTGCCACCAGCATGGGACTCTCTTCTGCTCTCTTCAAAAAATGGGTTGTGGATTTGGTACTTAAAGAAGGGGAGGGCGGAAAAAGTAAAAGGAAAGGGGGTAAGAACAACAGCCAGGGAAGGGAGTTTCAATGTAGAGCAAACATCTGCCCGGGGTCACGCTGGCTACATGTGCGTCGCCCTTACCTACCACGATGCCTGCTAGTCGGTGCAGGCAGTGTGAGCAGAGGCAGGCAGTGGGGTGGAGGTGGGTCAGATTATGTGTTGTTGTTCAACAGGAACTGGAACGAAACCAAACATTTTCAGTTGAGCCCCGATCCACCTGGCAGCTGCAGACTTGGCACTCCCCGGCCACCCCCAACCCCCAGCCACTCCAGTAAAAGGGGCTTTGATTTTTTTTTTTTGCAACTGCCCTCCACCACTTCCAAAACTTATCCCTAAGGAAAAACTGTGTGTTGCTAAACCATCTGATACACTCAAAGATGGTTGCCTGAAAATGATAAAAAAGTCTTGTGAGGTGATTTCCATGACCAGAGTTCTGAAGCTAGTCTTCTCTCCTCCCCTTACTTTAACAGCAACACACTTCTTATGTGTGGATGTCTACTGAAATGGCATTTATATTCCAAACCAAGTGGAAACTGCTCCTTCTGGGTCTCAGTGGCAGGGTGAAAAGCTGGTGGCCACCCTGTGGTGACCTCTGACCCTGAGGCAGGGGCCTCGAAGAACCCTGTTTTGGAGGATGGGGTGCTGAAGGCAGGACATGAGCAATATGGCTGCAACAAGAAGGGATTGATAGAGAAATGTAGGATGGACAACCAGTGGGGACACCCTGAGCAAAAGCACAAGCCAAGTTTTAATTTCTAGAGATGGCCTTTTGTTGTTTTTCTTCTTAAAATGGGAAAGCCGGCAGGAACCGCCAAGCTCAGTGTACGCACAGCGAGCAAATGACTGAGCAAGACAGTGTCCTATACCCTTAGACCCTCTTCTCTAGAGGGTGCTACATTCCTTAATGTGGGAGTCTTTCCCCGGGAAATCAAACAGAAACTGTGTATCAGGTTACAAAACCTAAGGGTACAAGGAAGTTTCATAAGTGCCTAGGTTCTTTTCTTTCCAGAAATAACAAAAAGCTGCTTTTTATAAAGGTTAAAAACAACAATGTGTTGTAATTCTTTTTTTTCCCCAAAAACAAATGAACAAAACAAAACAAAACAAAAAAAAGGAAAAGAGAGAGAGAAAGAGATGTATTTGGCATTTTCTCTACTTACTCCTGAATAGGTTAAGGCCCTGAGATTAGACGCTTGTATTCTTGGGACCACAGGGCTCCTTAAAACCCCAGTGCATCAATCCTCAATTCTCTCGTTAGCCCTTCACAGTTCCAGACTTTAAAACGTTTGACCTGTTTCTTCTGAGACTGGCTCAGATCCTTTCCACAGCACTGAATGCTAACGCCAGGCTGTCGGCCAGTGCTTTCTGTACACACGGTCTCGCCAGCACGTCCGTCAGTGAAAACATACCCTGTAGCAGAGGTACGCGCCGGCCGTGAGGACCGTGGCCATACACATGTTGACCAGAAAGGGCTTCCAGTGAGTCAGCGCCTTGTCCTGCTCCTCTTTGGGTGGCGATGGCTCCTCCTGGGTAGGACCTGCCCCCATGACCCGCCTTCTGACTTCAGTGTCTTGACTCGTGCTGAGGAATGAGAGGGGCAGAGATGAGTTACTTACTCTGGGTAAATCAATGGTAAAGATACTATTATTACGGGGGAATTCTAGGGAAAAGTGAGTCGCACATAGACAAGAGTTCAGTGTTGCTGGCGCGGGTCTGAGGCCCACTTGTCACCACCTCCCCCCAGGGGTCCAGGTGGCCCTCACAGCCAGGGTAGGGTTCAGGAGACGTGTGGAATCCTTAGTGATGGAGGGTGGGTAGAGATCTGAGGAGAAGTACAGCCCTTGGTGTAAAGACAGGTGCTAACTCTGCCCTGGGGTCTGCTGTAGAATGTTTCCCTTCAGATCAGGGAAAGCAATGGTGTGGCCCACAGCCTTCACACCCTTCCTGGGGCACCCCGATAGATGCTGATCCACAGGCTTTTGTCGCTGCTGACATGAAGACACCACACATTCCCACTGACCCTCTGCCCACCCCAACCTAGGTCCTTGAATCCCCAGCACCAATCCAATCCTGCCAGGAGGAGCCTTTTCCAGGCATCCTTTGTGCTGTCAGCTGGCTGCATACATGGTGATGAGCCGAAGTGACCTGGGGGGGGGGAGGGGGGGACACAGGAGCAGTGTTTTTGCTTCAGGGCTGTCTTGGGAGAGGCAGCAGAGGCTCATGGGCTCATGAGGAGCCAGGCCTTTCCCTTTCCACCCTTGCTTCCAGCAAGGAGGCCTGGCAACAGGAAGTCCAGCCTCACACATGCATCCATGGCCTTCCTATCCCAGCATCATCCTGTGCCTGGCAAAACCACCTTCCCAGGAGACAGGAGGAGGCCGCAGGAGCACTTGGCTTTCCACGCCCACTACCAGGCCCTGGCTGCAGTGCTGAGGTCTGTGGGCAAGTGGGCTCCCACAGGTGCCCAGTAGCACTTATATTTTTGGTACAACTCCATTTTTTTCTGGAACTCTCTGGCTTTTAGCTCCCCAAATCCCCATTTCCATACACAGCACCTTCACACACAGAGTATGAAACTCACTGCTCTCTACACAAGTCTCCATGAATAAAGAAAAACGACAACACATGACACAAATGCGACAAATAAGTCATTTGCAGCCTGTTTCTCTCATCATTGACCTCTGTAAGCCCTTGGATGGAGCACACTGGCCCACCATGAGTACATTAACAAAGGCCCTGGGAAATCGGGCCCAGCATCCCTGAGGGACAGCCAACAAGCTGTTGCTCAGCACATCAGAAGGCATCTGCTCTGGGAGGCCCCACTGGACAAGGTTCTCTCCAGAACCAGGTCTGGTGTTTCTGTGATAAGGACCAGTTGCATGAAGGACCCTGTGGACTCAGAGTCATGAGTCAGAACTAGTGCTGGGGTGAGATACTGATGATCAATCTAACCAGAGGACCACATGCACCTCCACCACATCACTGACCACAGGCTCCCGCTACAATTTACTGTTCCCTTCCCAACAAGAGGGTCTAGAACACAGACCAAGAACCATAACCTAATTATCTCAGTTTTTCATCACATGCATCAAAAGGTGCTAGATAATCTTTGTCAAACTATAAGGAAGCAAATGACAACCCACTTGGGTCAAGACTACATGAAAAGGACCATTTTGGGGGCTGAAGGTATAACATCAAGCCTGGATATCCCATTTCTGGACTGACTGAAAGCCTGGGGAGGGCACTGTCATCACTGGGCAGGACTCCCAGCACTCTGAACTCCTGATTCCAACGAGAACCACAAGATGGTGCTAGAACCCCACTGAAGTTGGTCACTTCCAGGGCCAACCTGTGGCTCTGTACCTGGGCTCCTCTAGCCAGGGGAGGAGCAGGACAATCCAGGGGTTCCATTCATCAAGGACACAGAAGCATGTGTACCAACAGGAGGCTATAGCCACAGGGTTTCAATATCAACATGAGTTTCTGGAACAGGTAATTTCTCCTCACCCCAGTAAGCCAGGGCCCTCTCACATTACCTTCCCATGCTACAGGGGACACTCAGGGGGCTTCTGGTTTCTTCCTTGATGGGGCCGCCTTCTTTACTCTCCTCGGACTCATCCTTTACCCACTGGTGGTTTGGGAAGAACTCCTTGCACTTCCCATTGTGTGGCTCCAGGATTCGTTTGGGTGGTCGGGGAGGGGGTGGGACATGCTCAGGTGGGGGCTCCAGGTCCTCGTGGGAGAGCTCCTTCCACTGCTCCTGGAAAAGGCAGCAAGAGGTGTCCCATCAGTGTTCATGCCTGACTGCTGTCAGGAAATCTGGCCCCCTTTCAGCAAGCAGAGATGATGGCTCAGGGAAGGGCTCTCTCTGCTTCTCAGGTCTCCAGAAATACACTTGAAGATGACAGTGTTTAAATTTTTACAAATGACAGCCCCCTTCTTCAGAGACAAGAATTGGAAATCAGCACACCTGGATGAAAGCAAAAGCAATGCTGACCTGCACTGAAGAGTCTCCCATGATGAATTTGGCACCTTCGATCACAGCTAGGTAGGAGAAACGGAGCTGGTCTGCTGTCTGGATCAGTCCCATCCGAAACTTCCTCATTTCTAACAGAACTTTCTTGATATCAACAGAAGAAGGGTCTTTCCTTTTGTCCATCTGAAAGCCAGATAGGAGACATAATTTAGCCACCCAGATCTCAAGTGCCCACTCAGAAAAAATCACAACAGGGAAGGTAGGATTCTAGAAAATGTGAGTCAGTGCATCAAAATCAGGACCATGTTAAAATACAGGAAAGAATGAGAAGACAGGATTCTTTGAATCGTCCTGGATTTCACTTTAAAATTAGGAACATCCTTCTGAACAAAGCTATTCAGGGGAAAGCTATTTTTACGGAAGGGAAGTTGTTAAAAAGTGAAGATCAAAGCTCGTTTACTGCAGAGACAATACCAGAGAAGCTGTGGCCAGGCCAGAGTAGGGGTTTACATGTGGTCCCTTTTCTTCCCGGGGTCTTCAAAGGCCTCCTTACCAGCAAGAGACAGGTGTCGGCAAGACAGAAGGTCCCCGACCTGCCAATGCCAGCGCTGCAGTGCACCACGATGGGGCCGTACTCCAGGCTGAGTGACCCCGATTCACGGACTTTGAAAAGAAAGTTCAGGAACGAGGCTGGAGATTCAGGGACTCCGAAATCAGGCCATGTGGTATAGTGAAAATGTAGGATCTCTCGAGTTTCTTTAGACTAAAAGAAAAATACTCATGACGATTCTAAGAGAATTATCTGTACAGAAATCACAAATTCCAAGTAAGCACGAAGTGCCTCCATTCACTCTAAGAACAGCTTTAATTCTCAGATTTTCTCCCAGGTACCATGAGCCCTGAGGCCACAAATAACAAGCACCAAGGTGCCGGGCCCTGTGCTCGACACTAGACTGCAGGCTGCTCCTGCTCTGACTTCACTTCCTTTAGGATGGAACAGCGTCACCCACCTCTTTTCTCCACTGTCCCTCTCACCTCTGCTGTCTTTATGGTTACAGCTAGGATTTCTCTCTGCCCCACAATGACACTGCACTGACACCCACGATAACCATGTCATAAAGCAGCACAGGGTTTCACAGGAAAGAGTGAAAACATAAACTATGTGTGTATAGCACCAGCTCTGGGTAATTCAGGGCTTTACAAGACTATCTGGACATCTCAGAGGATCATCATTTTAGAGAAATGATACTTTAACCAACTTAGTCTTCAAATACCGGAGGTTGCCACATGTGGCTCAATACCCAGATGAAGAGATGGTACTGAGCATTTACTTCATTTTAGTACTGAGAACCTTAGCTCACTGAGTTCTCACACCAGCCCTTCAAGGCATGTATTACCATTATTCCCATTTTCTAGATTAGGAGACTGAGGCTCAGAGGCCAACCCTCCATTAAGTGGGGGAGCAGGAGTTTCAATCTATGTTTGCTTGACTCCAGCCCGTGTTCAGAGCCTCTTACAGTAACTTTTGAAAGGAGGACCCTGGCCTGTGTCCCAAGTGTTTCTCCCAGCCCAGTCTGCTCCCACTGAAGCAGAAAGAAGAATGACCCCTGGTGCTGCTTCCAGCTCTGCTCCTTCCTCTGAGCTTCAGAGGTCCATGCCCAGAGTGGACACCCGGTCTCCAGTAGCAATGATCAAAATGCAGTTCTCGCTGGGAAGAGAGCACTCAAGAGTTTTCTAAGCTAAGGGCACACAGTAAACAGGAACTAGGCACTGGGTAAGTAAGGCCTACAAGCCTTGCAAAAGTGGGCACAGGAAGAAGGTTTGAAGGAACCTCACCAGCCTTGAGGGTCTCCTACTAAGCAATGCCAAGGGCCATGGCAGTCACCTGGAGAGCAGCTGATGGAGAAAGACTTCGGGCCAGCGACCCACTTACCAACACTGTCTTCCTTCGTTTGGCAAATGTCCATAACATGCCTACCATGTGCCAGCCACAGTGCCAGGCACGATGGGGTAAAGATACAACCGTTGCCCCTCCAGAGCTTACAACTTAGTTATAACAACTTTCCCTGAGCCTAGTGTGATGAAAATGTGTGAAAGGACCTACAATAAACACCAACAACCTAAAATCAGGAAAGACTACCCACTGAGGCAGCTATTGCACACACTGGCATCTTTCTGCAGAACTGGGAGCAATCGCCTATGCTATTAGAGTAATTTATAGAACCATGCTAAGCAATTCCATTCTTTTCTCCCTAAAAAATGATCTCTTAATACTTTAATACTAAAAGAGAAATGCCTCTTCTAATTTTTAGGGAAAGAAAAGCACTTAAAAATATATTTAAAAGCTGAATAAGAAAACATGCCAGAAGTGAATTCTCCCTTTTAATCTTGAAGACAGTGTGGGTTATCTCGTTTATACCCTCCCTCACACCTGCCAGCTCGTTCTCAAGGAATGCCATCTAGATCTGTGCTTGAACAGATACACGTGTCTGAGAAGAGACTTTTTGAAAACAAAGCCTGTTAGAGCAAACAGATCCTCCTAACTAACACTGAGGCCTCTGAGTGGCTGTATCTGCTCTGCCACCAACATAGCACATATCTCTTCTTCTCAGTCCGAATTCCATTTCCCTCAACAAGCCAGAGAAATATTCTTGAGTTTACCAGGAGTCACTCTTAATATGTCAGGCTTGCGAATGCTAAAGAGCATTTTAAAAAGTCTACTACATAATCCTTCAGGCACATTCCAACCTGCTGCCAACATTACTCCTGAAAATCCTCCATCAAACCCCTCCATAAATCACTCTCTTGAGCCTCAGTGCATGGTGAGGGCATGGTTCCTGGCTCATACTATCAGAGGGAGAAGAGAGCGAGCACTCAGATAAACCACAGTGCTGCATTCCTCAAAAGCCATGCAATTTTAACCTGTTCTCTACTTTGCAGTAACCTGTGCTAAGTTCTCGATCTTACTTCAACTACTAATTCAGCAGCAGGAGTCATGATGACTGCAGAGACCTAAGCTGGGAGCATAACTCAGACGTGATCCTTACTCTTTAACACCGCCCTGCAAGCCCCAATCCCATCCCCATACCTTGTCTTCTTCAACTGGTCATCTGTACTGATCCCCAAATGAAATACCATGTGACTTCATCCCACACCACTGCTAACACTTCCTGAGCGCCTACTCTGGGCCTGGTGCTGCTCTAACACTTCACATATATTACCTCCTCCAACGGTCAGAAAACTGAGACACAGTGAGCCGTATGCTGCTAGCCCAGAGCCTGACAGTTTGATATGGTAGGCCAAGATCAACCCCTGGCACTCTAGTTCCAGAGGGTACACTGACCACTGCAATTGGGTGTGTCCCCAGGAGCTGCCTTGAGCTAAGGGCCCCTCAGAAGGATGGTTCCAGGTAAGTGATTCAGAATCCTCAGGGGCACGGCCTTCTGTGGTTCTGCTTCTTAGCACAGTGCCTTGCTATGTCCCAGTACCATCTTTTAAAAATAGCTAGCAGTCGGTGTTATCAATTCTTCCCACAACAAATGAACCCAAGACCTTACCTAGAAAACTTACACTGGCTATGAAACTGGGCTGAGCACAGGAAAGGCCCCTTTCCCCTTGCTTCAGAAGAAAGAGACTGTGAACAATGAAAGAAGGCAAGGCTGCCCTGTCAATCCCTCTGCAGTTGCAAAGGCAGGAACAGATAAATTTTAGATAAGAAATTCCCCTCTCCTAAGAACTAGTGTTACCTAATGTTAAAATTTAGAGAGAGAGAGTGAACTCTGTGGGAAAAGAGGTATATAAGACACCTCCCCTGCTACCCAGGCACCTCTGGTCACCTGGTAAGTAAGCAGGTAAGGTCTGCTCACCATAGTGCCAAACCACACCTTGCTCATGGTATACAAAACCCAGAAAAATTGGCATTAGGTAATTAATCACCCAAGAGAAAAAACACCTCAGCCAGTAACCATGTGAAGTACTTAAGTGCATGCCATACTTACCATAAGGTTTTCCAACTCTAGTTGTCGTACTGTGTAATATGACTTAATATCTTCAGAGATCAATGTTAATTTCAAATTTGTGTCTTCAAAGATCATTTCTTTTTCTTCTTTTTGTGGCCAGTATTGTGCACATTTTAACTAGGGGAGAAAATAACACTGAATTATTGTGAGCATGTGACTGCTTTCCTATGACAGAAGGTTTGAAGTACCTTCCACGAGCTTGAAGATAACCCAAAGGCCTGAGGTTTTCTAACCTTGGAAGTCACTGTCAGCATAAGCTGCCTTCCCTTTGGGGAGATGGGGAGGGGCTGTGAAGATCTAGCCAGGGCTAGTTGTGCAGACAGGGCACAGACTTCCAAACCCAGCAGCTTCCTGGTAATCCATACAATAAGGTGTTTCGGGGTCAGGTCCTTTCTTTCCCTATCACCTACAAGGGGAAGCCATATTACACAAAACGTTTAGTCTCTCACAAAGTACTTTATGTAGCCATTTCAAAGATTGCCAGGAATCTGATCAGTGATGTTGGCATAGTGTAGATGCCTTATCCTGGGGAAAATAACAGGCTAACTGAAAACATGGCTAGAAGAGACTCCATGTGAAACACTTTGAAAGGTTAAAGGGCTGTTATCAAGTGAAAATTATTGATTGAAGGCTTGGAGAGGGCTCCTCCAAGGCATGGGATCACCCACTGCCTCGTCCCGCCCTTTCATTCTGGTTTGGTTCAGTTCAGAAAAACACTTTTGATATTCTAGTCTAATAATTTCAGAAACTACTTGATGGTGTTGATTGAAGTGTAACATTAACTTTCTTTAAAGCAAGTAAACTCCCAAAGATTTGGTTTCATTTAGAGCTTAAAAATAAGAATCTGACTTAAATTTTATGGCATACTTTGCTTGAGCTGAATTTCTGCACCAGAACCTACCATTTCAGCTTGCTGATGACTGTTCTGGTGATGGGGGCTAAGCTGCAAGGTCTATGAACCAGAAGGACTGACAATGTGCCTGGACAGAGGGAACCTCAAAGAGGTTATGGTTTCCATCGAATGAAGTATCAGTGTGTGTAAACAGCTCTTTGGGAAATGGTACAAATTCAAGACACTTGTAATTCAACATGCAGTCGCCCACTCAACACCTCCTCCGAGGCAAAGGATGATTGTGTCTGAAATGCCATAGTAAGTGGAGGGAGTCCCTCCAGGGCCAACTGTCTGTCAGGACAGACTGTTCATGCCCAGCAGCAACAAGATAGCCTGAGGGAAGTGCTGAGGAGAAAAATGCGATGGATATGCCCTGGGAATTCAGAAGAGGCAAATGTTTCAGGCTGGCTGAGGTTATAGGAAAGAGATCAGAGAAGGCTTGATGAAAGAAGCAGGCTCTGACACAGGCATGTTTGGAAGGTGTCTAGGATTTCCTAGGCACTAACTACAAAGAAGCCCGTCTCAGAGGAGCAGCGGAAGATGGGGCCAATGGTGGCCCAGACCACAGTGACTCTGGCAGCAGGCCTAGGAATCTGCGCATCACCTGGGCAATGATGAGCCAGGAGGCTGTTGAGGAGGTTGAAGACAAAACCACAAACACCCATTGATCCTGCTCTGCTGAATTTGCACGCTACCCAAAAAAAACAAATCAAGAAACACCAGCATGTGATGCCAACACAACATCTAACTCCATGGTCCCCAAACTGAAGGCTAATAGAGCTTTCTAAAGAGCCTGGACACAGGCCTGTTTGAAAGTCTTGGCGAGTTTCCTCCATGTCACTTCCCAACACACACACATATACACACACATTGATGATGAGCTGCCGAAGACAAACGAACCTCTTGAATGGGGCCAATCTTTCAGCATCAAGGCAATTCTGCCTCTCACGATACAGAAGCATTAGCAACATGGCAAGATTCATGCTTGGCCAAAGTAGGTGGGGCAGCTGAAAGCAAGACTTTAGTAGAAGACCTTTAAAGGACGTATTTATTCCCACACTTCAAATAATTAGAGCCGTGTAATTCCTTAAGAACCCAGAAACAAAGACATTGTCTGGGTAAGTTCAAAACCATGTGTACTGGGGTGGGCATCCAACACGGCAAGTGGAGAGAAAGGGTAAAAAGCAGAGACACAGAATGGCGAGTCACCACCAAAGAAGAGACAATGTTTTCACGTCTCATAGGCAGGGAAGACGAGTTTTTTAAACCCAACCTCCACACAGCAAGCACCCAAAATCAAAACCAAATATAAAGCCTAATAAATCTCTGTAGTCTGGGTAAAGACCAAGACTCTGGAACGCTATAACTGAGGAATTCTGGCAACACTGTCAATCAACTGATGTTTATTTTTGAGAACTCTTAGGCATCTATAGTAACATGCCACACTCTGCTCTGTCATTTCCTGTATAAATTTTTGTTTTAAACACACAAAATAAAACAAAAAATAAGCACAAGCTCACTATTTCCTGTTATGCTATTAAGTTGATATATACTGACCTGAAAAGGAGATTTAATTAGAAAGCAGTCCTTCACCAGGATCTCAACTGAGACATGTCTTGGGTTGGCACCAAACATCAACGTGGCATTATTGTCCTAGCTGCTGTTACTGCCATGAAGGCGGGTGAAAGAGAGAGAAAGAGAGAGAGAGAGTGTGTGTGTGTATGTGTCCTTGGGACCTTCTAAAATAGCTCGACTTCAGAAAAGTCTATGAAAGTCATCTGGGTAAGCCTATGATGGTCCATTTGGCTTTCCCGAAGAATGAACACAGAGAACTAAGCAGAGCACAAGAGAGATGGATGAGGCACAAATTTCAGGTGACACATAGGTCACCGTTCCGGAATAGCAAGTTAAACTCACCTTGTTTATTTCCCCTGCCTAAATGACGATCCCTATCCTCACATTCTACACCGACACCAGAAGTTAATACTGAATCAAACCAATGTGGCTATTTGCATGATCATAGTCTGACACACACAAGCACTTTCTGCACACTGCTTTCCAAAAGGGTAACAGGCAGGTTTACCAAAAATAAGAAGGGAACATCCTACACTACTTGGTAAAGGAAGGAAACCAGAAAACAAACAAACATTAGATGGAAACGCTCTGCAAGCTGGTTTTTACCACGGGCTGTGAGGATAGTTTACAATTAGATTAGCTGAGCAAATAAGATGTTGTATCTTCTTATAATTTTTTCCAGTCAGTGCTTATGGGATGATAATGTTGGTGCCGAATAGGAAATGTCCAATCATATGTTGCTTTCATGCCCAAATGACCTTGAGTGAAAACAGTTATAAACGAAATAGGGACTACTGTCACATTATCACAGTAAACTACAACGAAACCAACCAGCCATGTTTTCATAATGTCCCACATAGCAACCCAAGGGGACATGTTGTTACAGTGGATCTACAGTCCATTTACGGTGAGCCATGAGTGGGAGACAAACAAGAGCAAGGCCTGGTGACAAACACGTAACTATGGTGCTGGGACACTGCTCCTTGTAATGTAACAACATTAGCTAAAGCAAACCACGTGCAACCAACAAAGATTTTACCTGAACTTCTAGCAACAAATAAATAAAAAGCAAATGCTACCATATCTGATGATTTTTGAATAAATAAGTCTGGATTTAAACTTGCAACACTTATCATCTAGAACAGTCGACGAGGGACAATTCTGCCTCTCTAAGGACAACAAACAATATTGGGAGACATTTTTGGTTGCTACAGCTGCGTGCGCAGGTGCTACTAGACTCTAGAGGGCGGAGGCCAGGGATGCTACGGCCCTAATGTCAGCAGCGGCGAGCCTGAAAGCCCCTGAAAGCTGATCTGTGTTGTGCCCCTGCAGGGGCCCCCACGTTTCACTTTCCCTTGCAGAAAGCACGTGCTGTGGGGGACTAATGTTTTGTTTCTTTATTCAAAACTGCTGAGAAGACCAGGGACAGGTGGGGGCTTCCTCCACATTTTACTAATCAAGCCACTGAAGCAGAAAAAGTTAAAAACCACTTTCACTGAAAACTTTCTTTTCTAAGCAGCATTATTTTATCCATGTCAACACTCAGGTAAGTGCTCCATTATCACTGAGCAAATCAGTGCTTTCCTTTAAGAATAGAGGACAGAGGTAAAATGATTTTGAACATAGGCTGCGGTAAGAGGATTCTTTGCTGTAGCGGAGACCGTTTCTCTTGTGGGGTGGAGCACAGAGGCTTTGTGGTGACTGCCTCCCGTTTTCGCTGCTGAAGTTTCCTTTGATGTGTTACTTCTGTGCACTTTATTTTTATCGTCTAGGGCCATGACTGCGCTTTCTTTGGAGGGGTGGCTTCTCTGGAGCCCTCATGTTGTCCTAGCAGGCCACATCTGCGTCCCAAGGTATCAGGATGGCTGGGAGAGCAGTGCCCAGCCAAGCCCCGGAGAGCTCAGTGCCAGCAGCTGGCAGGCCTGGTTCTCTGCTCTGGAGCACCCATCCATATAGGTCTCTAGAATCCTCAGCTCACCTTCTCCCGGGGCCTCACCTCTGAGGCTGGAGAACCCAATGAGCCCCAGTGTCGGGGGGAGGGAAGGGCCCAAGTAGCGGGGATGTGGCATCTGTTCACTATGTTGAATACCACACTGGTGCTGGGCACGCAAGCAGTCTTACGTGGAGACAGGCCTTTAACAGGCAATCCCGCAGAGTAAGCCGTGTAGGAAGGGGCAGGCAGCACAAGCCCCGGCTGACCAGAGGGAAAGCAATCAGAGGACACCTGAAAGTGGGGTAAGGGTGGGCACTGTGATTCAGATCCTTAGCCCAGAGAACATGGTAAGATGGCAAGAAACTTAAAGAGAAAAAAAAAAAAAAGGTTTGTTCTGACTGGAGCTGGAGGTGGGAGTAGGGTCCAGGTTAACGAGGGGCCAACCACACTCAATACCACACTAGACGCTACAGGGACCTTACATATTACTGAGAGGCAGGGGGAGCCCCAGAAGGGTTTTCAGCTGGGAAGACGTGTGATGAGACTGGGTTTAGAAAGATCATTCTGGATGCAGGGCTGGAACAGGCAGAGGGGAGCAAGTTGGAAGGCAGGGTGGTGGGGGTGGCTAAAGGGACAGACAGATGCATGGAGTGTGATGGCCTCAACAAACACACACCTCTAATCCACGTACTATACGAGGGATGTTTAAAGAACTGCAAAGAACTTGGAAGAAAGGGTGACATAAATCCTAAAGTAAATGCACAAGCAGACAGTGTCCACATTAAAGAGTGTGGCCAGGAGCCAAGTGGCTGGGATTTTAGAGGCAAATCCATAGCCGAGCTGTTCCCATAGGCAGAAGAGCTAATGTGAAGGTACAGTAGACACTGGCCTTTCAAAATGAAACCATGCTTCCACAGCTCACAATGCATCGGCAGCAGCGTGGGAACCAGAGGTGAGGGTGACGCGGAGCGCACGCTCCAACTCTGGAGAGAGGCTCACTGAGGGGCAGGGCAATTTTACTTTTGTCCCTCTTGTTAATTCACTTATTTATCTGACTTGTTTACAATAAACATGTATTTATATAGTGCCTCTTTAGACAAACTGTTAACATTATGGACTGACACACAGGCAGACAGTGATATAAGAGTAGGTAAATGTACGACTTACCGATCCCTTCTCCATCACTCTGTTGAGCATGACCACGCCCCTGCTTTTCTGCTCCCACACCATCTCCCAAAAGTGACCGCATGTATTAGGCAAAGGGCCCTGTAAACACACAACCCACAAAGTGCATGCCATTTACACAGAAACATACTCCAGGGCGAGCTCATCATTGGCAGTTAGTGGTAACAGTGCCCTGGGGCAGTAGTGGCAGAGGTTGGGACAGGGACCCATCTTCTCCCTGCCTAGTGGTCAGTAACCACAATTCTATTTTCTAACACACAGTGAAAGGTCATTTCCACATCTCAGAGCTGGTTCAGGGCTGACTAACAGAGAGAAAATGTTGATTCTGCTTTCTGGTTTGGGCTTATTGGCAAAGGGGATCCACTAGGACCCACCCCCCAGGTGTAGGGGACAGGCAGTATGGGGAAGTGATCAACGGTGATACTCTTGTGGTTCCAGTTCCAATCACTGATCTTTGTGACCTTGGATAAGTCACTTCACTTCTCATGTCTCAGTTTCTCCACCTATCTCACTTGACTAACCATAGCATCTACTCATACAGTTTTGAAAATTAACTATATTCACATATATAAAGGCTTCCCACAGTACCTGGAACATAGTAAACAATCAATAAAATGTTAGATATTATTATTACTAACAGTAAACCTGATCACAGAGAGCCTTCATCCTTGGATCAAGGAACGTAAGAAATGTGGACACACAAATGGTCAGTCAGGTGGCCTAAGGGGCATGATGTCACAAGGGCATGATGGGGTGACTGCCAAGCAGCTGACCTGTCCCACTTTAGCCCACCCAGCAATGGGCACAGATGTTTACTGGATACAAGGATACGAATGCTTCAAGTTTGTTTCAATTTTCAGTAAGGCCTGGAAGGGACGTCACCTACGGCCTCCATGCTGGAGCATACCATCTCCTCCAGCATCCTCGCCCATTTCCATCCCAATTCCCCTTATTCTCTACATGTTTTCCTGTGAGTCTCCCCACACTTTCCTTGCCCAGGCAAACCTGCAGTGCTCTCTTTCTTCCCTGCGCTCATCTCAGACTTGCTGTCTGACCCAAAAGTCCTCACTCCATGTATGTGCCGCAGGACGCGGACAACAGGGATTACCTGTGTCACCCTTTCCCCCAACTAACAGAAAAGTGGCTCCTGGGAGGCAGGAATCACGCAGCCTCCTCGCTGGCTGCCCGGGCCTTTCACCCTCTGACCTGAGCGTGAGAACCCCTCGCTGGGCCTTCCACAGTGGCAGCTCTCTTGCTCTCGTTACCAGCTGTCACCTTCCCTACCCTCCAACACCACCCCAGTTTAGAATGGGTCTGAGGGATTAAATACCACATAAGATCTGAAAGGATACACAGCGAACTTCGCCAGTGCTTCATGGGGGAGGTGAAAGGACGCCAGTGACATCATTCTCTACACTTCTATACCTCAGATTTTTAAAGACTTACATCATTTGCATAAACAACAATGAAAAAAAATGGGCAGGGTTTCCTTGGTTTTGTGGAGTGGAAAATGTTTTCAGTCATACTATCTGGAGGTGCAACTTTTGGGGTCAGGCTGCTCTGATCCCTTTTGTAAGTCCCAGGGCAAAGGGAGACCATGTCAGCAGCTAGATACATCTGTGGTGCCACCCGACAAAAGAGACAGAACTTCAGATGTGCCAAGTAATTGCCAAGGCATGGGGGTGGGGAAGACAGGGCACAAAAGTGCCATGGTGATTTTCTTGTTCCATTTGACTTTATACACCCTATCAATCTTTGTTTTGGGCTTCCTGACCCCACACCAAAGTTGAATGGCTGAAATCAGGAAGTAAGACTTGAATTCTAAAAAGAGAAGTTCCTAAGAAGCCACTTTTGCCTCAAACCTCTTCCCACCAGTTTGCCACCACCAGGGATCTCCCTTCTTATCACCCTGCCCCAGCCCACCCCAACCACCCCAGAGATGCTAGGTAAAGGCCTGTCCCCTACTCATATACCAAGAACTTACTCAATAGCCCCCCAGAAGTGAACACTGCATGGCTGACGTCCCATACACTAACTGGGAGATGTCTGGGCTGATTATGGTCATGGACAGGGGGAACTGGGACAGGACAAAAAAGGGGCAGAGAGGAAGGGCCACAGTGTATATGCCCTCATCTAGCTCCCTGCCCCCAAAGCAGCCCTTTGTTCGTAGTGCCTTCTGGCTTCACTATAATTTTAATTTCCAAATATTGGCAGAAAAAAAACCCAAAAAAACTCCACAAATATTGGCAGAATTCTGATGTTCAAAATCACCCTATAACCCAAAGCCATATATAAGACTGATAAACTGATATGAAATAAGAAAACAAAGAGAAACTTAGACTGTTTAGACTAACTTATAGGTAACAGAATAAGACTTGAGAAAATTAATCAAAAGAAATTCCTTTATCTCCACTCCCAGATACCCATTGTTTTGAGTCTTATACCAGTAAGTGTTTCACAAGGAGATCAATTATTAAACCACTTCTGTGATTCTTTCCATAAAGATGCCAAAGCTAATGGGAATGTCAAGTGATTTGGCATCCTTGTTCACATAATCTAATGTTTTTTCCTGGACCAAAAAAGGAGGGCCATGCCACGGAATTCTGAAAGAATATCTGGACAAAGGTTCCTGGTAACTGCTAACCCTCTAAGATTTCCATGAGAACACTCAATGCTCTGAGGCACTTATGGAATCAATACAGGTACAGGCCGTTCTCTAGCCACAGCTCTGCTGCCTCTGTGGACAGACCACAGGCAGTTCTGCCATTTAAATGCTGTTTCTCATAAGCCCAGCAATGTCATACTTCTCAGAAAGATAGTGTTACAACCAAATTGAATCTCTGAAGGAGGATTTTTTCCCCTACCTTGTTGCTTTTATGGGTGGTTTAAAACCTGAGCTTCTGAAAGATGTGGCAGATTTTTATTTGAAGTAATAACAGCACTCTAAAACATTTCAATTGACATCAAGTAAGGCAAAAACCACTTAAAAAATTTCAGACAATCCTGGGATTACCTGGGTAAGAATGTAACTTCGCTGCGCTTCTTCCATTTTTATCAAACTAGCATTGATATAGTCGTTATCTTCTTGATGTAGTTTAATCCGACTATGGTCAACTGAAAGGCAAATCAGAACTCAGAGGTTAATCCTGGATGACCAAAGTGTCTACACAGGCATTGCACCCCATAGGGAAAGCAAAGGTGAGTTGGTAGCATTAAGGGTGTTCACATTGGCTGAGGCCATGCCTTTTAAATTGTGACCAGTCATCAATATGGGGATAACTAGTACTTTGAGGAAGGTTTTCTGAAGTGTTTGAAACTTAATGCTAAATAGCAACAAGGACAAACTACACTAAAACATGGATTACATCCCATTTGGGAAATCTTCCTAGGACACTTAGGTCATATCTTCCTATGACACTTATTACTGTCCTCAGAACTTGGTAGGCTAGGGAGAGGAGGTGTTAAGAGATCCATTCTGATGCCTAATACAGGATGGGGCAAAAGCAGGTTTACAATTGTTTGTATGGAAAAGAATACAACAACGAATAAATAATAATACAAGAATAAACTGTATTTTGTGTACTCACAACTATAAACCTACTTTTGCCCTACCATGTACATACTTTTAGAGGGTAAGATTTATGAGCACACCTCAACTTAACCTACAGCTCAAGGTTTAAAGATTAAGTGACCTAAGTACACAACAGTGTGAAAAGTCACATCTTGAATTCTTTTACATAAGGTTTTTTTTCCCTAAAGTTCAAGTATAACATACTTAAATGATTCTAAATCTCTCAAAGTCAGAATCTGTCATGATCAAAGACTTTGAAAAGAGAGTTTAACTACAAAGAGTAACTTTGAATCCAAAAAATTCAAAGTATATTAGCTACAACTTTCAGAATAGTTTTCAAAAATAAAACTCTCATTTGGAAGTTCTGCGCAGGTGAGTGAAAAGTACAACCACTTTTTTTCCCTTTTACCATGACTTTGTCACAGAAACAACGGTTTCCCGAGGGCCACTTTCCTATTCCTGCTAGTGCAGCTAACAAGAGCAGGTATTTTTATTTCTGGTACAATGCAAGGGATGGTGAACTCAGGTGACTACCCATAAAGAGCATCTTCTCCCCCAGCCCAATGGGAAAGGAGAAGTTAATGGGGATAAGTAATTTGGGGCTTTTTGTTCTAAAGGGTTCCAAAGAGGTGTTTTTGAAAATTAGCAACTATTTGGAATATTGTTTCTCATTGTGGAGAGTTAATACAAAATGAAAAACTTTGGTAATATGTAAGTGGGTCACGGAGATAAAAGATCTCAGAAAAATTATGTGTCTGACACTGGTGAGTTATGTGAGCAGGTTGAAACAGTGCTGGGTGACCTTGGGCAATCAACTCCTCCTCTGAGCGCTGGGTTCTTCACTTACCAAAAGGCAGATAACAAGATCCCCTTCTACCTTGAATCACCCTCCCATTTCCCCCATAACCTTAAAAGCAAATTACTTTTTCTACTGGAGGGTGGAGGTAGGGGAGAAAAGAAAAATATGAGAAGTGAGATTGGGGGTAAAAAAGTTTCGGAATGTTTCCCTAGAATATCATAAATGCTTTCTTTCTCTGTAAAACTGGTTCATAAAACCATTTAGATGAGCACTGATCAAAGATGTAGAAAAGGAATATTGAACACATTATTGACTAATTCAGAGCAAGTACAGCAAAAGCTACAGACCAAGGGTATGTCCTGGCACTGCTGAAAGGTATAAACAGTAATTGTTCTTTCAAGCTCATGGCAGCTGGCCAGACCTCACAGCAGAATCACTCAGAGAAGTTTTTAAAAAAAAATAAAACCTTTGCTCTGGACAGTGTGGCTCAGTTTGTTGAGCGTTGTTCCATGTACTAAGAGGTCGCCAGTTTGATTCCGGGTCAGGGCACATGCCCAGGTTGGGGGCTTGATCCCCAGTGAAGGGGGTGTGCAGGAGGTGGCTGATTGATGTTTTTCTCTCATCAATGTTTCTCTCTCATCAATGTTTCTCTCTCCCTCTCCCTTCCTTTCTCTTTCTCTAAAACAATAAAAACACATTTAAAAAATAAAAATAAAACCTCTGGCATGCCACAGCCTAGACATGCTAACTCACGAGTGTCAGGTGCTGGGGCACAATGATGTGTCACCTGATGACCTAAAATTGCACTGCAGATGCTGCTGCCATTTGCTTTCATTCAGTTAATGAAGATCTCAACCACCACCAACATTTCTGAGCGAGACACTGGGCTAAGCGGCTGATGTTATTTTATTTCATCTTCACACAATCTGACAAGATCAGTGTGACTACTGTTTTATTGCAGGTCAGAAAACAGAACACTGTGCCCAAAGCCACACAGCTCTAAGTGGCAGGTGGAGACACAAACCCAGGCAGGGAACTGTGGCAGCAGTCAAAGGCAGACTGCTCTGTACCAGTCTAGGTCCATTTTAACGCCCCTCCCGGGAACCTGAGTGCTGCTCATTTCAGAGCAGGAGGCCCTGCTGACACCGACAGAGTGTGCTTTAGGAGGTGTGCAGGAAATGCCTGTTTGAGGAATAACCCACAGAATCTTCTACCCTGGCAGGGAATACTGTCATAGGCAATGTCGGCAGCTACAACCCTCACTGACTGATAATGTCTAAAGCCCCTGGAGGTGAGTCAAAAAGGCTTCTGCGGCCTAGAAGACATGGGAAAATTCATGTCCTTTACTCAGTTCCAGTGTATCTTGCTTTATATAAATTCTAACATGTCTCCTTATTTACTTTCAAGATATCAGTAGATTGAGAGCCAAATACTCTGAAGGCAGAGGAGGCTGTCAAAGGTCAGCAGGCATACTGGAGCTAATGGCAGGAAAGAACTGGAAATACGATGGTAGCTGGGTGTAGGGTGGGGTGGGACTCGACAAGCAGAGCTGACTCGAGTCTTTGGTAGAGGGAGTGAGCAGCTCCCACCCCTGAATGCCTGCACAGGGCATCATTACAGTTCAATACAATGCTTAGGGTCTATTAACACAGTTGCTAAGCCATCCAGAAAAGATTATATTATGCCTGCTCTATTCTGCTTCAGCTGGTAAGAAAATGATTCATGAGAAAAAGTCAAAGCTACAATTTTCCAGAAAAATGAAACCTTATCCCTTCTCCGATGGTGGCAAAATGAACCATTACTCTAAAGTCTCTAATGCCTCTGTTATAGGAAACAATCAAGTCATAAATCTCTAGTGCTAGTGATGTATTATCCAACTCCAGGGCTAAAGGAGTCCTGACTGAGAGGCCCTGCAGTTGAGGAAGAGCCCGACACGATGGAAGCAGTGAGACCGGGAATGGTGATGTGAATACTTACAGGGGCTGACATCTCTGTACCTGTTTCGGTTTTTGTTTTTGGGAAGCTTGGCCACTCTACACGGGAAGTCGCTGGCTTCATGTCGGATATCCTACAGAAAAAGGATAGAGTTCTCTCTTGAAATTTCTGGCATCAGGAATTCATCCAGACATTTAACGAGCACAGGCTCTGTGCCAGGCACTGAGGAAGACCCAGTGCAGAAACAGACATCAAAGGGAGCCAGGCAGTGTGGGAAACGCAAGGTGATAATTCAGAGGCATGTACAAGGTCATGAGAGAAAAACAGAAAAGGAACAACCCGTGGCTGGGGTTCAAGGAAGCAGCATGGGGCTGGGAGTTAGACACATGCGGAAGAGGGCTGGGAGAAGGAAGGTGTGTGTGTGTGTGTGTGAGTGATTCCACTCAGGAACACCCAGCACAGCAAAGGCACCGGGGCTGAAGTTCACATCGTATGCAAGGAACAGTGAGTGGGCCGGTGGGGAAGAATGACAGATGGCTGGAGCACACAGGTGGGGAGGCCAGACCTCGGACAGCCTTGAATGTCAGGCTTGGGAGTTCCACCTGTAACCTTTTATAAAGTTACAGCTATTAAGAACAGATAAAATGCACTTTTATGCCAATAAACTATCCAACTGCTTTCCTAGGCGATGGTAAACAAATCCCATTGTACTCAACTGTCAGAAAGAAGTAGTTTCTGGATTAACAGAAAATCTGCATTATGTCTCCCTAAAACACCACCATAATCACATTAAAAAAATCTTTCCCTTTTAATTTGTATTTGATTATTATTAAAAGACAAACCCACATGACAATGTGAATGCACTTAATGCCACTAAACTGTATACCTAAAAATGGTTACAATGATAAATTTTTGGTTATCTATATTTTACTACAATTAAAAAAAAGAAAGAAGAAAAACCCACAAGGGAAGAACAGGAAAGAAGACAACAGCAACAGCTTTTGGAAGCTGGAAATGAGACCAATTAGTAGCTGGCAGGACCTATAAGCCCACAGTGGGAAAAGTAGAGAACCACCTTGATTTCCACCATAGAATCCTCCAAAGGCTCAGGCAGCGCTGCCTCTCTGGAAAGAGGGGTGGGATTCATTACAGGGTCAATCTGTCAGGGGTGGAGCTATCTGAGGGGAACTGGATCTTCCCCACCCCCACAGTCCCCCCTGCTGCTGCTAGGTGACTGCTGCCTCAAGCGTCTGCAGAAATCTGGAGACTTTCTGGAAAACATAAATCAGGAGGCAGAGTGCTCTCTAGATAATCAGAGCAGACAAGAGGAAAGACCAAAAGATACCAGGGTGTGCAACTGACAACCCCCCAGAGGCCCCATGGCCAGATCCACACTAACAAGACTCTTACACTTGCTCAGAGCTCTTGATCTGCCTTGTAAGCTCCTACTCTTCTCATGCAGACAACCACTGGTTACAAGATGTAAGAACAAAGCCTGTAGTATAAGACATTTACAAGGAAAAAAGAAAAAAACAGGAAAAAAAGCTCTTTTAATAAACCACAAAGAAAGCTTTAAAAATATATATTAATATACTAAGAAAGATAAGAAAAGATAATATACCCAGAAAGATAAGATACTACATCCATGAATTAAGAACAGGATGTTACATAAAATAAACAAAAATGTCACCTGGAACTTAAAAACAAGATAGCAGAAATGATAAGCTTAATTGAAGAGAAGATAAAGATAGAAGAAATTTTCTCAGAAAGTAAAATCAAACAAACAAACAAAAAAGCAACCACAATAATAGAAAATTAGGCAAAAGAAAATACAAGGAAAGAAAACATCAAAAAATCATTCAAGAAAATCTTCCAGACCCATCAAGTGCTCATCATAATGATCAAAGCAGACCCATACTAAAACATATGAATTTGCAACTCCAGAATCCTGCAAAGAGAATATTCTACCAGGAAGAAAAAAGTAGATGACCTTCAAAGGATAAGGTGATCAGAATGGCTTCTGATTTTGCCAGAAGAACGCTGAAAGCTAGACAGCAATGGAGCAATGCCTTCAAAATTCTGAAGAAAAATGATTTCCAACCTAGAATTCTATATCCAGCCCAATAATCAAGTGAGAAGGGGAAAAAAGGACCATTTCCAGATATGCAAGGTCTCAAAAACTTTACTGCCCATGCTCCCTTTTCTCAGCAATCCAATGGAGCATGTCTTCTACCTGAGGGGAGAATAAACCAAAAAAGAAAGATAGGCAATATATAAGAAAACAATCTGACACAAGAGCAAAGGCAATGTTCCCAAAAACTGTGAAAGGAGGAGCTCCCAGGATGACAACCATGCACAGACCTAGGAGGCACGCAGATTAAAGCTGAATCACTCAAGAGATGGATATGTCAACAACATGCCCTTTGTCTGTGTACAAATGTGACCGAGAGGACCAGAGAGAAGTGAGGAAAAGACCTGAAATCTAGGAATAGGAAATCTAGTTGAGAAGAAAAACAAAGTAAGACTCAAGATAGCTCTGTGTGCCTACAGTCCAATCAACCCAGAGAGAAAGAGAATGGCAGTCTGCAGTAGGGATGTCTGCAAATAAAACACACCGAGCAATCACCTGAAACTGCTCTGTTCAGTACAGCAGCCATGAGTCACACATGGCTACTGAGAGCACTTGAGACATGACCAGTCTGAAAAGAGGGGTTATGTAAAGTGTAAAATACACATGCGATGTTGAGACTTAGTACTAAAAAAAGGAAGTAAAATGTCTCAAATATTTTAAATATTTGTTGAAATAACATGTTGAAAATATTTGGTTAAGTCAACTATATTACTAATTCATCTGCTTCTTTTAACCTTTTTCACTGTGGCTACTTGAAAAGGTAAAATTATATATGAGGGCTACATTGTATTTCTATTGGACAGCACTAAATGACCTTGAGAAAATTGTTTTGAGAGGCTACTAGAAGGTATGAGAAAAATTAGCAACAGGTAGAAAGAAAACTATGCAAATGGAAAGAATAGGCAATTATTAACTACAGAAAAATCTTAAAAAAGGAAACAGCACAGTACAACACTATCTGTGATGACTATAGGCAAATAATGTAAATAATGTTTTTACCCAAAAATATACCATACTGGGAAGATGGCGAGGGGAAGCAAAGGCGGAGAGAAAGCAGGAGATGGCTGTTTAAGAAAATAAAATTTAGTAAAGGCCCAAATTAATGAATCAAAAGATAAACATACTTTCTAGAAATTTGTATATATACAATATATACAAGCTAGAATCAGTAGGTCAAGAGTTGAAAATGGTCATCGTGGGGAGAAAAGACTGGGGGAATGGCTTGAGGTGTGGGCAAGCCAATAACTGGATTTTATTACAAACCTATTATGGTACTATTTAACTTCTTAAGCCATGTGCATTTTTAACTTGAATTAAAAAAAAAAAAAAAGAAGAAGAGAAAAAAAAAAAAATGCCCACATCCTGCTATTCTACTTATTTAAAAAGCTGCAAAATTGCAGGGAGGAGTTTTTGACTCAGAGGATAAGCCAATAATTTAAAAACATGATGACAGGTTATAATTAAACAAATTAATCTTTTATAGGTAATAAAGCTTTCAGGGAAATGCTACAGAGCACCAAAAAAATAAAAAAATAATAACTTAAAGGAATAAAAATCAAACTCTGAATCATTTAGCAATAGGTACAAATTCTGCCTTATGAGGTGAAACAATCAGGTCAGTCCAGCTGGTGTGACTGAAGACGAAGGAAATAATTAATGTGGCTAAAACACCAAGTACTCGGAGTAAAATAGGTGCCAAAATATCCACAGGAGTGCAACTGATTCAGCCAAAGGGTTATTAATAAGCACTTTTTGGTGCCAGAGAAAGAGAAAGAGAGAGAGGAGAGGAAGAGAGAAAATAAAAACCTAAATATTCCATTTAATAAAGAAAAATAAGAGGTATTCACACAATAGTTTTTTTTAAAAACAGATTTTAAAATTAAGATATACTCAGAGTAAAATGCATACATATTGTGTGTAGTTCAGTAAGTTTTTCTTATCAATTCTAAGGTATAATTTACAAATAATAAAATATACCCATTTAAATGTTTCTCTACTTTAGAATGGCCTATGGGAAATATATGCTGGCTCTGAGTACAAGTACTTATATTTCATTTAGTAAAATAAAATGCCAGGATTATAGTCTTAAAATTGAGGAGTGATAAAGTATCTTTTTAAAATTAAAGGTAAAGGTAATTACCAATAGTGGTTTAGAAGAAAGTACTGTGCCATAAAATTTTATACAGAATTACAGCAAAACAAGATTTCTATATTCTAAAACTACCAAAGATATGCTAACTTTCCAATAGCTATAGAAAAAGGAGATTGCTCACTAATAAACAAGTGTAAGCTGACTTCTACCACAAAGCATAAAATATCTGTTAGATCTTTTATTATGCTGATCTAAAAATAAATAGCCCACCAAGTAAGTAAAATTTCTACGAAATAAAATAAAATAAAACAAAGGCCTTAGAGCTGATGAGAAGCTGAACACTGGGTAAATTTAGGAGCCAAGCCAAAAAGGAAATAATAAGCTTGCCATGAAACAGGTTCCCAGAAGTTTCCCGAAACAAAACACAGATCAATTCAAGAATCCTTCAAATGTGGCCAAGCACTTCAGGGGCGGGGTGGCACTAATTTAACAAGACCACGGATAACTTCCCAATGAATACAAGGGGATAACATACTGATAACAAAAGTCCTGATAACAGAATGAATTCATGCCCAGTGAATTAGTTTCTGTACTTGTTCAGGAAAGCTCATTATCCATTATTCAAATACTTCCCAAATCCAATTAGGCCAAAAGTTGAACAGGTGAAGAGCTGACAATTTCTGATTCAAGATTTCTATTTTTCTTGAAAACACAGAGGCATAAAAGCCAGAAATATTTTCATGTTTATAGTAAGCACTTCATTAAGTTAAAGATAACAATTTTGGTTTTGGTGACTGTCTCTTAATGGTTCTGTGGCAAAATGCATTATTCATTTTAAAACTATGACAAGTGATGAGGTAGAGGGAACATACCTCATTACTTTAGCAGTCAGAGTCTGATAAGAAGAATC